CCCCGCCGGCGCGCCGGCGGGGCGGCGCCCGCAGCCCGCCGCGCGGCGCCCCTCAGCCCCGGCCGGCCCTGTGGCCCGCCGGGGGCGCACCGCAGACGTGCGCGGGGCGCCGCGCGGCGCGGGCACGCGCGTGTGAGCGCGAGCGCACGCGGCCGGGGCACATTGCATCGCGCCCGGCCGCCCGCCCCTTGGGCCAGCACCTGCCATCGGCAATCCCCGGGGTAGCATCATTCATACTCTATGCAGCGGGGCGCATGGGCTTCTGGGAAGAATCCTGGGCGGGCGGCGGGGGATGGGGGACAAGGGGGGGCGCGGCGCATCGCGGCGCACGACAGTGGGCACGGGGCGGGGCGCCGACGCCGCTTGTGGCGGCGCCTGATGCTCCTGCTCCTGCGCAGCAGGTGCTGGCAGGTGCGCGGCCCGCGCACGGGGCGCCAGTGAGCATTCCGTGTGTGCCGCCTGCAGGGCCGTGCCGCTGCCTGCAAGCCCCAGACCTGTCTGCCGCACAAGAGAGCCCATTTGGGCGGGCAGCAGCCCAATCAGCGGGCGCGGCGCCGGCGCCTGTTCGGCCAGCGCGTTGTCCCCGCCTGGCGCCCCGGCGGCAGCGAGCGCTGTCAGCGCAGGGTGGGGGGCATGCACGCGGCCTGCGCGCCGCCCGCGAGCGGTCGGGCCCGCAGTGCGCCCCCCGCGCGGCGCGGCTCTTGTGTCCGGCGGGTTTGCGGGGGCGCGCCCAAGCTCCTGCCGCGCACAGCCGGTCCAACACGGCTCGGCCGCGCCGCCCCTTGGCCCCTCCCGCCACCCCCAACTCTCGGCCTGCACTGCCCACACGGCATGGCACTGTTTGGCTGCTGCGACGCATGCATGCTAATGCTATGCCCGTGTGCTTGAGCTTTTGCCTGCATAGTCCGCCGGCCCGCTGCAGTCGCGCGCTTGGTCACCCTAGAAAGTGCAGCACAGACGCTTGAGTAACGCCCAGTGCATTTTCAAAGCAATTACTCCCTTGGTTATGGCTGCCAGCAGATCCGGTGCAGAGCACCACAGCAGTAACCGCCTTGATGCGTGCCATGCCTGCGTACAGAGCCCTCCAAAAGGTGCAGGCCGCAACCAACACTGAACAGAGGAGAGGCCAATTACAGGCACAGTGAACCGCTTGTGCACGTGCCCGCAGCCCACGTGCCGGCAGGAGCGCCCATAACCGCCCGCCTGCGTGGAGGTGGGGAGCAGAGCGGCCCCCAAAGGCTTGCTCCCGCCAAGCGGGGCCCCGAGACCCCACAAAACCGCAGCCGGGCGGTTGCGACGGCGGCAGCCGGGCTGCCGCCGTCACTTGGCCTCGAGCTGCTCCACCCTGTCGTCCTCTGATGAGGCCATGAGGCTGTTGTAGGCGGCCGAGATGGCCTGGAACTTGGCCTTGGCCTCCTCGGGGTTGTTGGGGTGCTTGTCGGGGTGCCACTGGACGGCCAGCTTCCTGGGGGGTTGGGTGTGTGTGAGTGTGTATGTGTGTGTGCGTGTGTGTGTGTGTGTGTGTGTGTGTACGCGTGGGTATGCGCGCGGGTGTGTGTGTGTGCGTGTGCGTGTGTTGTGCGTGCGTATGTGTGTGTGTGTGTATTGTGTGTGTGTGTGTGTACGCGTGGGTATGCGCGCGGGCGTGTGTGTGTGCGTGTGCGTGTGTTGTGCGTGCGTATGTGTGTGTACGCGTGGGTATGCGCGCGGGCGTGTGCATGTGCGTGCATGTGTGTGTGTGTGTGTGTGTGCACGTGTGTTTGTGTGCGCGCGCGCGCGCTAGTGTGTGTGTGTGTGTGCACGTGTGTTTGTGTGCGTGTGTGTGTGTGTGTGTGTGCGTGTGCGCGTGCGTGTGTTGTGTGTGCGTATGTGTGTGTACGCGTGGGTATGCGCGCGCGCGTGTGTGTGGACGCGCATGCGCACGTACGTGTGTCTGATGATAACCCGCACCATCCTGCATCCTCTTGCCCGCATCACCCCTGCCAACCGCCCCCCCGGCCGCCCGAGACACGCCTAACGCGCCCCGCCGTCCCCCAGCCCGCGAAAAGAGACCCGCCCGCACGCCCCTCTGACACCCGCGTCGCGCCCACCCACATGAATAGGGTTCAGATTTCAGGCTGACCTTGAGTTTGGACTAATCTGAAGTGGAAACCCTGGAACCTGAATCCTAAACCCTGAACCTCACACCCGCAGCCCCACCTGTACGCCTTCTTCACGTCCAGCTTGGAGGCCCCTATCGGCACCCCCAGCTCCTCGTAATCCCGCGCATGCCTTAGGTGGTACAGCTGCCTGTCCCGCCGCTTCTGGTCCTTCTTCCGCTCGTACTCCTTCGCCCGCTGCTTCGCCTTCTGCTCCTTGTTGCCCTGCGCCTCGTCGATCATGCGCATCGCGATTTCGATGGCTTTCGCGTCCCCGAACAGCATGATCGTCGTCATCGGGCGCGCGGGGCCGGCGGCGGCTGCGTCCTCGTCGTCGCCGCTGTCCGCGCCGCTGCCGTCGCCGTCGGCGGCGGCGGCGGCGGGCTTTGGCTTTGGCGGCGGAGGGGCGGCGGCGGCGGCGGGGGGCTTGGGGAGGGCGGCGCCGCCGAAGCCGCGGTTGAGCTCCTCCTCGCTCTTCTTGATTTGGATGCGCGCCCTTTGGGGTGGTGGGGGGAGCGAGGGTTTGCCGTGCGCACGTGCGTGGGTATGGCTGCTTGGCTGCGTCGAGCGATGGCTTTTCTTTGACAGCACCCTATGCCACAGGTTTCGCAACCAGCATGACATGAACGGGGCTGCACAAAGGAGGGAGAGGCTGTGGCACGACGACAGCAGCTCCTTC